TATTTGCATTTATACAGATATATACTGATGAGTTATTAGATAATGTTAAGATAATAACTTATTATAACTGTGTTACTCTCACTATAAGAAATACACAGTTGATAATGAACATTATAAAGACTCTGAGAAGTAAGTATTTTAAAGATACTACAGTTCTGTAATCTTGATTTTTTTTTTTTATTTTTTTTTTCTTTCTCTTTTTTTTTTCATTCTGATTTTTTCTTGTTTTTGTTTTATTTTTTGTTTTTTTGTTTTTTTTTTACATTTTATATTTTTTTCATAATTAAAATTATATGAATTATGATCTGTGTTTAAAAAAGTAATAATATTTGATAACACTCTCTGTTGAATTTTCAACAAATGAGCACTATGTTATAATATTATATAAGTGAGAAGTGATTTTATAGTCTCATTTAGTGCTATTCTCAATAATGAGATCAGAATGAAAATGTGACTAAGAATTCAAACATATTCTTTATTCAGAACTAGATTTTTATTTGAAAAGTGAATCTGAGATCTTTAATATTTGAAATAACATGATTTGAAATCAATGTAATGAACACAAATCATGATCAGAAGTAATGCTTTTAGATAACATGATAACTGTAAAGTTTGATTCTGATCTCAGACACGGTCACACAGTCAGTCTATAATTAGATACATACAATAATAACTTCTCAGCTCAGAAACATAGAGTAATTCATTAAAGTGATTTATACACCTCTATATTTATTAGAAACCTGAGGTGCTTGAGTTATAAATTTAATATATTCTCTACAGGTTTCAAACTCACGTGCCTTGATTTTCCATGCTAAGGTGCTACTGAGTGACTGCATTAATTATTCAGTCACTAAGGCCTTATAAGTTTCTTAATTCTCAGATCTGAGTTCTTACACTCTGCTTATTATAAGAGTAGATTCTCAGTTTTTATTACTCAGTTTATTTACTCTATAAGCTTTAAAAATACTATAGTAATCTGAAATTCTAAGTTTATTAATACTTCTTATACTTATAAGATAATAGTACTATACTACAGTTTCTTTCTATAAGTATATATTTTTATTAAGCAAGTACCAGATTCAGATATCAGTTTTAAAACTCTTAAAAAAATAGTTACTGACTCTGTCTATAACTTTTTAAATTTCTATTTTAGTTTATTAAAATAGTTTATACAGAGATATTCTAGTTTAAAATAGATAAAGCAGAGACTCTTTTTCTTAATCTCTCTATTATATACTCTATTTATAAAAGCTTATAAAGCTCTCTCTCTTCACTTAATAGTTAGATATAAATCTCTCTATATTTTATTATCTTTTCACAGTAAATCTATTCTCTGTTATTTTAACTTTTATAAGATAGATTAATAATTTACTCTCTACAGATCTGTAACTCTTATAGTAATCTGTAAATAGTAAATAAAAGTTATCAGTTTCTTTAGAGTTAAGAACTTAGAGTTTTACTTAATAAGTTTATTCTATATACTTTTATTCAGTCTTTTTATAAATATTATTATTCAGATCTTGTTTCAGAGCTCTATTTTCACAGATTTTAATTTATATTATAATTTTATAAAGTACTGTAAGTAATCTTTATCAGATTTCTTATATCTTTTTCTAATATTAATAATTATAATTTAAATATTCTCTGTTTAACTTATAGAGTCTCTTAACTTATTCTTTAAATAGATTTTAAAAACTGATTAGTAAGATCTCTTACAATTATTCTCTAGATAATTCAGTTAATTCTTAACTTTAATATAGTAAAGATTTATTATTATATAGATAATAATCTCTTTATCTTTTATATTACACAGTCTAACTTATAAGTTAATTTCAAAGATAAACTTATAAAAGCTTTTATAGATTATAATTTAATAGATAGTTTTAAGTAATTACAGCTTAAGAAAGTTTCTTTTCAGTTTATAAGTATCTCTGAAGATTATATTTAGAGACTCAGTTTAACAGTGTTTATAGATAGTAAGTATTTCTTATAAAAAAATAACTTAATTCTGTAGAAAATGCTCAAGAATATTCTTCACTGAGATTGATTTATTTATAAGTTTAATAAGTTTCTCTATTATAGATATAAAGAATAATATTTTATAAGTAATTAATAAGTTCTCTGAGACTTCTTTTATAGAAGTTATTCATGATTTAGATAGCTGTTTCTGAGTGTTTACAGTACAGTTTATAGAGATTAAAGTATATAAGTTTCTAGTTCTTTCAGTTATAACAGATAATTTCTGACTGACAGAGCTTGAAATATAAGAATAAATACTTATAGATAATTATTCAGATATTTACAGCTTAATATAATATATACTATTAGCTACTAGAAGTATTTATAATAGAAAGATAAATATAGAGATTAAATATATAATAGTATTCAAGTTAAGTTATAAATAGTAATTATGAACTTCAGTCTATATAGTTGTATATAGTCAAGAGTCACTAACTCTATTAATTACATAAGAGATAGAAATAGTGGTAAAGAATGTTGGTGATTACTACACCTACCCTAGTCACGTGCCACCCCAACCTATTCATTTAGTGTAACTCGCGTAGTTAGATTACAACACAATACAACAACGTTATCCTTCAAGAAAGAATCTGTAAGAAGCGGAATTTCTTACATATAATTTCTTAAGCTGTTGAAGTTTTAAAAGAAAAAGAATATATTTATTTCATTTAATAACAAATTTTTATTTTGAAGTAAAAAATTCAGAATATGAATTGCCTATTATAAAATAACATTAAATAAATACATTAATACATGTTAACAATATATAGAACAGCAAAAGAACAAATAAAAGTATAAAAATTATCTCAAATTTAACTTAATTTTCAGAAAAGTGAAAAAAAATTACCTTCTACCTTATTACATAAACAAAAATATATATCTAAATTGCAAAAAAAATAAAATAAAAAATAAAAGAAGGGGTAATTATAACAAGACAGTAAGAAAAGAAGAAAAGAAAAAAAAACAGAGTAAAAAACTCATCTCTCTCACTTTACTTCTTTCTACTCTCTGTCCCCTTCTTAATCTTCTTCTCCCGTTTACTTTCGATTTCCTGATTGTATATCTCCCTAGCAGACTCACCAGCCTTGCGCTTCAGAGGCTTTGATGACTTGATGCTCACTGTTGGAATACTGCCGTTCTTGCTGACAGAGGTGCGCACCTGTTTTTCTGCGTCTTCCCAGGCAGCGGCTCCATTGGAGATTTCGTACCTAAACGACAAGAAAAGAGGGCTGGTTAGTTATATCAGGGTAAATTGATCTTGAAATGAATAAAGTAGGGGAAAAGTTAATATGAAAACTTACTGGTCCAGTGGTAACGCGTCGATAAGGGCTCTTTGCTTTTCCCTCAGCTCTTTGTTGACCTCCTGTCCACCCTCTCTTAGCTCCTCATCAAGGCCAACTTCTAAAGGCCGGAATCGATCATCAATGATTTCATCGTCATGTACTCCAGTGGCATCCTTAGGAGCAACGCCAATATCTGCAGGCGGCAGTGTCTCGGCTACAGCGCCTTCGACAAGAGTCCTAAAATGGGAAGAAACTTTCCGTATAATCTTTATGAACATAGCCATCAGCTGCGAAGCGGCTACTTTGATTTCCTTCTCGAGATCGTCAAAGGACTTTCGCTGCAGGCCAATAGCTAGCAGGATTGATTGTTGGACGCCGGAAAGCTTCACGCCGCCGCTCAGACGACCGGAGAAATAAAAGTCTGCGATCGTGGGAACCATGTCGAGGATAACGTGATAATCGAGTAGATTGTTTGCATAGCTGTCTAGACGCTTTAGGTCAAAGGGCGAAAATGCGGCGTCCAAATCTGCCTTCGTTAGAGTGGAAGGTTTGAAGGATGGGGCGGATTTTGAAACTGCATTGGCAGATTCGCCGATGCTGAGCGATAGAACGGATGGGAAGTCGCGGAATTGGTACGATAGCAGGGCATGAAAACGTTTGTGGAAGTCACGCGCGTAGGCTCCAAGCCAGCTTGTGTCGTTACTCCCCGTGGATAGGGTGCGGAGCATGACACAGGAGTGTTCGCCGGTTAGGTCATTGGGGGTTTGTCGGAGATACACTGGAGCGAAGCGGGAACGTTTCCAAAACTTGTGAAGCGGAGGGGTCAGACCATAACTAACACCAAGGTAGTCAAGAGCGTCGGGGCGCCGCTCGTTAAGTCTTGCAAAGAGGGGTGGCATGGAATGTATATCTCGGATACGAATATTATCATCCAGAAGGCTTGAATTTGCCAATTCTTCGTCTGTTACTCTAACCAATTCGTCGGATGGGTAATTATCTTCCTCTGATAGGTTTGCAAACTTTCCCTCGAAGAAATCAGTAAGGAGCTCGAGGGCACGCGAGCCGTATCCCATGCCCAGGTAATCTGGATTCGTAGCTATCCGCACGATTCTCGCCCCTGAAAGTCCCGCAAATTCCTCGTCTTGGAATTGTTGACTAACAAGCCAAGGTATTAAATCTCCTCCAGCTCGTTGTCCACGGCTGAGACCATGCAAAACGCTCTGCTTGCTTATCCGACCTTCTAAAGCCACTTGGATTACGCAGAGTGGTTCTGGAACTTTGTTGGGATAAGTAGGCGGGACCAGCACAAATAGTTGATGCGCGGGCGCGTCGCTCATGAGCTGAAGATCATTTGGCGAATTTTTATAGTGGCTAGCGACGTACAGGGCCATCATCTGCTGCAAAAGCTTTTCGGGGAGCGGGTGGAACGAGAACAGGACGTCACGGTTAACGTGAAGAAGTTCGCATTGAGATGGGTGAGGACATCCCTGAGTATTCGCTTTGGACTTGGGGAGGGTTGCATCAAGGCAGAGAAGTTTATTCATCCACTTTTCCACGAAATCTCCAGGCGCGTATCGAATCGGTTCTGAAAGAGTGATTTCTCGCAGTGACCGGCCGCCTGAGAAATTTTTCTCTCCATGCTTCACGGACTTTCCTGCCGCCCGGTCAACGATGTCGGTATCATCCCCACTCTTAGCTCCACCTCTCGATTGCTCTCGAAGCTGTTGGATTAATTTCAAAGATAGGGATCTGCCTGTGCCTTCATATCCGCTGATGGTGGACGCCATGAATACCAAATATGGGCCCATTAACTTTCGTACTAGCGGCAGCGGTATGGCAGCCGCCTCATCAATTACCAGAAGTTCTGCCTGTCCAAGCGCAAAGGCATCTTGGGGCTGGATGTACTGGATTGTTTGCCTGTGTTGGCGGTGGACGTTAACGCGCACAATGGCTTTATTGAAATCCGGGTTCGTTGATTGAAGAATTGTATAATCAACATGATCCAAGTAACCCAGCGCATCAAACCCCTTGAAGACAAATTCAAACAGAGTTTTCAAATTCTCCGGGCTTGGAGAGGTAATGAATATATTGCTATAGCCGTATGCGATGGCTGCAGCGATGGCAACACCAAGAGCAGCAGATTTTCCACGGCCACGGGCAGCAGTCAGGGTGACAGTATTTCGCAGGGTCTTTTCTGCGATGGCATCAACAAATGTGAGGAGAGCTTTCGCCTGGTCTACCGTCTTCGCCAAAGTGACTAAGGACCCTACAGGTTGTGTATCTGCCAGTTTATCCTTGATCTCCTTTAGTTCCTTTTTCGTTGGGTCGGTAGACTCGTCGCTTGGGTCAGCTGGAGGGAGCGGTTCCACGTATTTGCCGCCAGAAATTGGAAGGACATTAAGCTCATCATCTATTACCAAGCAAGATTTGCAGCTTCCAAGTGAAAGGATAAAACGTTCGTTAAACCGTGCCACAACATCGTCATGGGCTTCAGTTCGGTATCTGGAATGGACATCCATCGAGAGGGTGTACAGCTGTTTTAAGCTCTTCATTCCCTTCAACAACAGTATGACAAGTCCCCCACCTTCAACTGTTTCAATAGTCCGCGCCAATAAATTAGGCGTAAGTGCCTCAAAGTCCTGCAGCACACACATCCCATAGGTATTTCCCAAAATTTTGTCTGTCTCCTTGTAATAAACATAGCGAATTTGCTGTAGGGTTACGAACAGTTCGAAAGGGTCCTCTGTATTTGGGTCTCGTATCCCTCTCTTGATTTCTTTCTTGATCTTTGCCTCGCGCTTCTTTCGGTGGCTAGTGAATCCAAGCAGATCCTTCTTATATGCCCATAGAACCGACTTGTTTTGTTTAACGTCGACGCTCGACATTATATGGTGGAGGTGGACGATGACATCTTTGGCGCGGTCCCCAACGACCACGAAAAAGCTTCTCTTCTTCTCCTGTATTCCATTTCGAATCAAGGAGGTAATCCTGGAATCGATTGCTTTCCGTGGCATGGCTCCGACGGAACAAAACGTGAGGGCGCTGGCGCTGGCGCTTTGGAGGAGGGGAACGCAGGGCGGCCGAACTTGCTTGCTTGAAGTCACGCAAATTTCAATTCATTGGTGGGACAATCTGGCACCAGGAATCCACAACACACAAGCAAATAACCCAACGCTGTGTGAAGCTATTTTGTTAGTCAAAGACAGCTATTAGTTATTACATTACGCTGTAGTTCTCCCTTCCCCACATTGATATCGCATACCAAAAAAAAAAAAAATAAATAAAAATAAAAATAAAAATAAAAATTGGCGGCCGGGTAAAATTACTCCTTTTATAAACTTCCCAAGAAGGGAAGGTTATGCCGAGGGTCACGGGTCTTACCCAAAAAGGAAGTGAGCAACAGAAAATAAGCAATCGAGATCAGCCAATTAGAGCATTGCAATAACAACCTTAAATATATCCATAGAGTTAACTTATGGATTTTATCCAAACCGATCAGCCCTAACTTTTGATCAACAAGGATGAATCAATAAATCAATATTACGCTGTAGATGAGGACGAACATGAAAAGGTTCTCAAGAAATAGTAAATTTCTTCTAGTTGAATAATTGGGCTTCTCCAGGCTTCTTGTCCGTGTTGAGCGCCAAAAGAGTCGCATGGGTAGCATTCTCGTATAACTAGACATTAACTATATAGGGGGTCCTGGGTGCAATATTTAATGAATAACTAGCTAGTTACCCCTCGCAGTGGGCAGTTCGTAAGCCAGTTCGTTCTCTGATAGTGAGCTACAAATCACCAAGGCGGAGGTTCTACCGAGTTCAATTCGTAATAATATGAATAGCATCGCGAGTTCTCGATATTTCAAGGCTATCTACTCTGTAAATACAGACCAGCAACTCAAAAACCTCCATGTCCGCCCGTGGTCGGGCTCTATACTATACTCTATACGCCGCTAACACGAGACTAGTTGTGCTGGATCTTGCCTGGCTGATCAATTCTCATTGCGTGAGCTGAGACACTCGTTTTGAGATTTTTCAGCGATAGTTATTTAGGGTATTATAGTTATTATTAATATAACTCGAAACCTTCTGGATTTAAACTCCCGTCACCGTCCATCTCCCCATCTCCCCGGAGTTTTGGCTTTGCGAATTGTCTATGGTTCGGACACTATCCTTCTGAATATCCAGCCAGAGTTCTGAGCTTTCCATAAATACGAATCGAGATCCTCTCAGCTTACCTACCTCCCACCAAAACTCCAAATCACCCCCAAATACCTTATTTATGGCGATTCGCATCAGCCGAGCCTGCGTGGGATAACTGGATCGCCATATTACAGCGGACATGCTCTAGGGGTTTGATTGGCCCCCCGTTTCCAGGATTTGTCGCCTTTGCTATAACTGTGGAGTTGTTTCTTGGACTAGGAGAACTGCGAGCACCGAGGGGGGGGGAAGTTCCGTCAAGTTCATTGAGATATACTAGGTTTTACTAGAGTCAAACGTGTGGTATTTCTTATTGCACGTTTTGCGCTCCATCGCGGATCAGGCCTAGGAATGGACACTATCTCCCGTGGGACGATCAAGTACACTGCATCAACGTACGGCCCCTGGTTCCTAGAGAGAGAGGATAGGGGGGCAAAATGAAATGCGCACAATTCTAACGTCGCTATAGTGTATTTATCATCAGCGTCTCATTATTGAAGCTCTCCGCAGAGTCCTCCCTCGTTTTTGGTATGTTCTCTTCTACTACTATTTCGATCGCAGTGGGATCCCCAATAGTTGACAGATGCTAAAAAGTAAGGGGATGACGAACATTAGACCGGCCTGCGCATACTGCTGCAATTACCTCCGCATTATCCGGCCTCTTCCTCCTGGTATTCGGCCTTTTTGTCACTTCTCCTTCGCGACACCCCGACGCCGACGAGCACGATGATTCGATCCCGCTTTCAGACTCTCTCCCACATTCCCCATCCGATACCTCCAAGGCTATAGAGAAGCTGCGCAAACTCACAAGCGCACAAACACGGAAAGCATCGCGTATAACCTGGCTGGCTATATGTGCGTTGGCTTTGCGCATTGAAGTGTCACGTCACATCGTGCATAATGCGGAATGTTTGAAACCGGCCTCTTTTGTAAGCTACAATGCCAATTTTCATTTTGAACATAACCTATATATATCTATTTTTTTCCCAAAGGCTGACAATAATGTCTTCGCTGGTTGTAGGCCTTGACTCCTCTTCTCCTTTCGATATACGGATATTGGGCCAATAGACGAGCCAATCGCATTAATAACACCCAAGGCTTTGACGACAATGCGAAACGATCACTGGCGTCTACCTTTCCGATTCTATTATTAATCACCTCCGCTTTCCTCACTTCCTCCATGAGCAATGGCTGGAAATCTACTTATATCTGCCCCTTGACCGGTGCCTCTGCGTTGTTTACGGCTTTATTGCAAATTCTTGGTTTAGTGTTGGATACCGTTATACTCATTGCATTCTCGGAACTCGGCCGCCAGCGCACTCGTCGCAGTGATGGACGGAGGGTACAAACTACTGTGCTCTGGGGCTTCGTGCTGATTGTAAGTAAGCACCTTTAGGGGGATGTAGTGTACAAGATGTCATCTGATCTAACTTCTACTTCGATGGGTCAGGGTGTATCAGTAATATGGCTACTTGCTGCATTTCCGATATATTTGATCCTGCCTAAACAAAGGGAGTGGTTACTCCAGTTCTCCCTCCCGTACATTGGCAGCGTTATGAAGCTGAGCCTCCTTTTTACATGCGCCTGTGTCTCAGCTTCATATATTGTGAGTTCTGTTTCGAAAACATTTCTCTGGACGCCTTCATTGCTAACTTGACTCCAAAGGTAACGCAAATTAGAATTCTGGGAATATCTTTCCTTTTCTCATTCACATTTGTTTGTATATCGCAATTATCCCATCTGTGGACCGCATTCCAAGCTTTTCCTGTTATCCCAGTGTTTACTGCTGGCTTTTCCATCATTTTGCTGCATGTTTCGGGATATTGGTACTGGCGTTCCAGTACAGCCACCGACCAGGATAGAAAAAAACAATGGCAGCCCCGAAGCTGGATACGATTGGTATTTTTGGCTTTGATTGGTTTATCCTTCGTGCTACTCGTAACAGCGAAGAACGAAACCCCGCGCCATCCGATTGACACTCTTATATCTCGAGCTAAAACAAATTTTGGCCAATGGGTGGCCAGCGCGAAATCGAGCCAAAACCTTCAAGAAGCTGTAGCTGAATATCAGCGACGTTACAAACAGCATCCGCCACCGTACGCAACTTCACCTAGTTTTCTATTATGTATCTCGAATTCTTTACTAACCTAGATTATAGTGGTTTCGATCTATGGTATAAGTATGCGACTGAGAGGTCTTCCGCAGTGATTGATGATTATGACCAAATCTACGAAGACCTTCTCCCTTTCCGCGCATTAAGCCCTCGAACGCTACGTGAGTTGACTAATGCCATGGCATCCCACCCTTCGAACGATATGGCTACTGTGAGCGTTCGTGGTGGAACTACCCAAATACAAGAAAGCATTGTACCAACACACAGATGGATGGTTGAAGGGGTAGCGAAAATGATCAACCCTTTCTCACAATTCCTGCCCGACATGGACCTAGCTTTCAATTTGAATGATGAATGCCGAGTCGCTGTTCCTTGGGAGAAAATCAACGCTCTCCACGGTTCTGCCAAAAGCCACATCCGCCAGGGCACTGATAAACTGATTGGGTCCTGGTCCGAGAATCGCGCCTCAACTTGGGAACTCAGCGAATCTGCAAAGAAGGGAGCAGATCAGCTTTTTACAGACGCTTCCTTTCAACAAGTATATGATCTCGTTGGGCGCTCTGTATGTCCCCCTTCATCGATGGCGAAAACGTCATTCGTTTGGGACAAACGAAACGTTTGTTTGAACTGTGCCAGGCCACATTCCCTCGAACAGTTCTTAAGCGACTGGACGCTGGCCTCTGATATTTGCCACCAACCTGATCTGGCCTATCTGAGCGGATTTTACCTCTCCCCTTCCGCTTTTAGAGTATCCCAATCACTCTTACCAGTTTTCAGCCAGAGCAAAGTATCCGGTTTTAACGACATCCTCTATCCGAGCTCGTGGAACTATATAGACAAAGTCATATATAGACCCACAGACGAACATCCAGATGCGCCTTACTCCGAAAAGCAGTCCACCCTTTTCTGGCGCGGTACCACATCCGAAGGATATAGCTCTTCCGGCCAATGGAAGGGCATGACCCGCCAACGCATTGTCCATCTCGCCAACAACCACACCTCAAACTCCGTCTCAATCCTCCTCCCTTCCCCTTCCTCTTCCACATCAAAAAGAAACCCAACCTCCTACACATATACCAACATGCCCGCCTCCGAGATCCCCGAAGCCCTCGACCTACAAACCTCCATCTACCTCGCAGGCCAAATAACCCGTTGCAGTTTATCAGATTGCGTTTCCCAAAAGAAAGAATTCAGCCTGGGCCCTTCAACCGATTTCCAAGAACATTGGAAATACCGGTTCCTAATGGATGCCGACGGGGCTGGGTTTAGCGGTCGTTTCCTCCCGTTTCTGCAGAGTAGGAGTCTCCCGTTCCGCACGGGCCTGTTTCGCCAGTGGCTGGATAGCCGGCTTACCGCGTGGCACCATTTCGTCCCTATCGATATTAGACTGCACGGCCTGTGGAGCACCCTGGCATACTTCTCTGGCGCGAGGGAGGCTGTGCTGCCGGACTCTAATGCTGCTGGGCCTATTCCGGATGCCAATAAGGATAATAAGAGAAATGGTGATGGTGATGGTAATGGGAATAAAGCTGGCGGCGAGACAAAGCAAAAACCACCACCCAGCCGGACGATGTGGGCGAGGAGGAATAGTGAGAACAACAATGCTAAAAAGGACCACAAGAACAAGAACAACAACGATAATAATAATAAGCAGAAGATATTGATGGAACCACACACGCGCGAAGGAGAGTTTATAGCCGAAGAGGGCCGGAAGTGGGCAGAGAAGGCGCTTCGGAAGGAAGATATGGAAATCTACATGTTCCGGCTGCTGCTGGAATGGGGCCGGTTGACAGATGATAAGAGGGACCAGCTGGGTTTCCAGGTAGGATAAGGGTGATGATAATACTGTGCAATACAGCAGTCGCTACTTTTTATATAGACCGACTTCTATCTTTTTGTCCATTTTCTTCTTATTTACTTTTTTTTTCGGTTGTTGCGGTAAACCAGGCTTCCGTTAGCATGCGCGGGAAAGAGTCGAGGTGTGTATAGGGCGCGCGGGCGCAAAAACCTGGATTGGATCTTGCTTTACTTTAATTTTTTATATACCTCAAGATTATTGCAATGTACATGTACAAACATTTAACGAGTTATTTCATGTGCTTGTTTCACCTTGACAATATTAAGATTGGTGATTATAATTTATGAAGAGCGCAGTAATAGTAATAGCACATACAGACAACAAAGCTAATGTGAGGCTCAAAATGTAGGGATCGGCGTTCCCGATTATCAAAACGGGTGAGAGAAATTGAAGGGTCCAAATCAGAATACTTAGAACGTAGGTCTATGATTAGGATAGACAAAGGGAGATGAGATGTGTGACTGAATGTCAAATTTCTATGGGCTGTCTGTTCTGTATATATATATGTATATATATCCGTAGCCACCTTCGTAAACAAAAACTACTAGCAAAGAATCGCAGGGTATTTAACAGATTCAAGCCCATAAACTTCTCATCTAAAATTATATAAGGTAATAATAATAAAAGAGGGCCTTTTTGGCTGTGCTTATCCTGCGTGCGTTGTATTCAGTTTCGGATTTTCCCCCAATAATAAAAATTGATCGGGCCATCCAAAGTGGTGTTTCCACTTCGTCCGTTCCCATTTCACCCAAATAAGCATTTTCACCCAAGCAAAGCCGGCAAAGAAAAATAGGAAGAATATAATTAGATTAACAGAAGTAGAAACATTATCAAACACATCATCAACACTCCCTAAAAAAGAAAGGAGACCAAAGCGAGGCCTGGCCCCTGATTGCTCGTCCAAGAGAGCACGAACAATGAAGGAAAAACGAATATCACACCCAAGTAAAAATTCCAACAGAGCTATTACAAAAGGGAGTCAAGAGGCGCATTCTATTTTACCTATCAATGATGAGCTGCAGCAGCGTGCTCGTTGATATGCTGTCGTCGCTTCAGTACTTGTCATTTGTGGGGTATCCCGCTGGTTCTGTGGGATAAGCAGCTGGCTCTGTCTCATCCTCAGCTGACTCTGTCGGGATAGCTTCCTTGTAACTCTCAGGAGCAGTCACTACGATCGCGATTGTCGTTTTGGTCGTATAGGTTATGCAGCTCTGCGTTGGTGGTGGCGTGCAGGATGAGACGTCAGTCGGGTCAACGGAAGCGGTCCCAGTAGGATATTCGCTAGGTGCGGATGCCGATGGCAAAGATTCTGAGTAAGTAGCACTGGGAACAGTGGGTTCGTCAGACGATGGAACAGGATAATCGGTAGGCACAGGCGAAGATTCTGAGTAGGTAGCACTGGGGACAGTGGGTTCTTCAGACGATGGAACAGGATAATCGGTAGGTACAGGAGAGTCAGTAGACGCAAACGAAGACTTGGGGTAGGAAGAGCTGGATGCGGTAGGCTCAGCGGTCGATGGTTGAGGATATTCGCTAGGCGTGGACGCGGATTGCGAAGGTTCCGGGGCAGTAGAGCTGGAGACAGAAGGCTCATATGTCGATGACGTGGTCATAGTCGTAGTCGGGGCCTCAGTTGACGACGAAGACGTCGATGATGTTGAGGATGTAGTGGTGCTAGTTGACGTATCGCCTTGCTTGTTCTGGAAAACTTTCATGTAGTTGATGGACCAGAAGGCTTCACTGAATGCCCAAGGGTTGTTCTTGACATAGTCTTCGCAAGTCCTGCCTCCCGCAGCGCACCCGTTCTCGTTCCAGGTAGCCTTGGCCCAGTCACCACAGAAGGCGGTATTGAAGATCTGCAGGCATGAAAAAGAATTTGGTTAGTTCAGAACTACATGAAGACCCCAATTTGAATGGATGGCAGTTGGGAGGTTGGGGGGGTTATTTACAATTCGCTGTTCCTGGAAGAATTTGTCAAATTCACAACCCGTGAAGTGTGCAATTGGTCTGGGCCAGGTCGACGGATCTGGGTTCTCGTCATTGATATTGGAGGGAATTTGGTAGCGCGGGAAGAACCAGACACTGATGGAATCGCTAGTCCATTCAGTCGCATATACACCTCCGCCAATACTGTTGAATGCAGTTCCGTAGCTAGTTGCGCTAGGGGCCCTGAACAAGCATCCTTGGTTGCTTGGTTGATTTGGAGAGTATACATCACAGTCCTTGGTGACGAGTATCCCACTATATTTATTATTGTCTTCCACTTTGCAGCCTGCTGTGGTGTGCAATGCAACCACGTTCTTGTTTTGTTTGTTGACACCCTCGATGATATCGAATTCGCCATCATCAGGCCATGTGGCCCCCGTTGCCCAGCTATATGGTGGTCAGAGTACTGGGGACTAGAAAAAAATCGCGAGGGGGATGGACATCGACGCGTTGGGATGGACTAGGACTTACAACGCGGGCCAGGTTCCACAGATATTACCGGGCATGTGAGAGATATCAGCCACAATCAGGCCGTGTTTGTATGATTTCTTCGTCTCCAGCCGAACACTCTCACGGCCACGACCCCTTGCAACATTCTGATGGTCAACTCCGAGATAGACAAAATCGTTATTATTTGAAGCAAGCCCGTCCCTCAGTGCTTTGGATTTATCAACGTAAGTAACATATGCATTACTTGGGTCCGGTCCCTGTTGATAGTTAGTTGGGAACACCAGAGGTCGCACCCCATTCATTGCGCGAGGAGTGAATAGGGTCTTACGTCAAAGAAAGCGAAGTCGTCAAAGAAGTTCGAGGGTTGATAATCATCTTGGAGTACGTAGGCGCCAGTACTCAGCTTGGCCAGAGCGGCAAGCAACGCGAGCTTGGTAGCCCTCATTTTGTTGTTGTGGTTGATGTTGCTCAAGGAATGATGTCGACTCTAGTCTTCACGTGGAACGTTTTATAACTTCGAAATGGTGAAGAGATGCAAACCTCTTCACAGGAAAAGAGCGTAATTATGCAAAACACAATAGTCAAGGAATGGAATAGTTGCAATACCTGCAACATAAAAAGGATGCGCAGAAGGAATGTGTTTGACTGACTGAAAAGAAGAAACCAGCAACAAAAGGGAACAGAAAAAGATTAACTTGCGAGAAGTTTCCAGGGGTCATCATCATCTTGTTATAAAATCAGCTTTGGCCCTGACCCTGACAACAAACAGCCCAGTGTTCCTGAATTAGTTCATGTAGCGGCGCCAGTGGAGGTCAATGTAGCGGTACAGTCCAGTAGTTGGGTGAATCCAACTACCTAGCGTGGGACGTAAGACATCCAGAGCCATACGCTGCGTGGCTATCAAGAGCCACAGCCTCCACGTCTTGGGAGTGAGCGCCCGTACGAGATGTGGTCGACAAGGAGCCATTACGAGCCATTATCCAGTCGTAGTCAGGAAAATTTTGCCTCGGCGGGGCTGGATGTTACAATTCCCCAAGCATCAGGAGAACCCCTCATCACGCCCTGTTGAATACGCAACTGGATATCTGGAACAAAGATCAACAACCAAAGGGCCACGCTCTGTTTGGAAACATGTTGCTGCTTCTTGAAACTGCAGCCCACTTTTCCACCTTGCGGATGTTTTTGTAAGTGGTTAAAAAAGTGAGCACGGAAGCGCCGGTCGAAACGAGTCCGACTTGGCGGCGTTGCGTCGGTCTGGAATAAATCAGGAACTCCAATCAGCGAGGGTTGGTAACTTCCGAAGCGAAACGGCGCCAGGCTAACGAGGATCCTTGGACGCCAGTTGTCAAGCAGAAACGAGCGCCCGAAGATATCACGATTCAACGACCGAACCACAGCACCAGGATTCATCCACCACCACCAAAGAGGCTACAGTTCAATTGCTGCCTTTTCACCCGTCATCATGCTCTCCGTCGCTACTCTCTCTAATACCGATTGATTCCTGATCGAGAAAGATGAGGACGAAATAAAGTTGAGGCTCCTCCGCAGTTTGCGTTTAAGGTTTGCTTAGTCACCCCCTGATTCGCACCACCTGCACACCTGCACCTGCACTGCACAGTGCACAACATCCGGAGATTTTGTTCCGAGGCTGACTATCGGGCTCTGGGCACGAGTTTGGCAGGGCCTAGACTGCGACAGAAGTTGGCTGCAAGTAAGCCTGGACCGCTATGCGTAAACCATCCTCGTTCTCCTTTGTCCCCCTTTTTCGGGAAGAATCGCGACTAAGAACGACTTGCACCGGGCAAAAGATCCTGAAGGAGGTGTTACACCTTACACAGCTACTAAAACTATTCGTCCTACATGGGGAAACGTGACATTAATATACGCGCCTCCACAGTGAAGCCCTTGTTCCGGTACCAGGCGGAAACAAACAACATGGCCGTCAGCAAGAAGAAAGACTCCTTAGGACTTTAGAACGCTTGGCCCAACAATGGCAAATTTGCGAAGCAGTTAGCGACTTTTAGCTTTACCAACTGACAAACAACTTAACTGGCACTCGGTGCTAATAAAAAAATCTCTAGTTTTCAGCCGCATCGAAGGGTCGCGCTGGGAGCAAAATGGAGGAAATGCGCCACAGGATCTTTCCCGCCTCGCCGATTGGATGGGAAATGGAAATTTATCCGTGCTTAGCCTAACTTCCACAACTCACCCACCCTCCCGCATGCGAGAGGACAGGGGGTGCAGATACCTAGCCCAGAAAGGAAGTCAACTCAAGGGAGCGTTGCTCAGCCATTGTTTTCAAATCACGAAGGTAGTTGAAGCATAATGTATTTTAGAATTAATATGGTTAGAACCCCGGCAAGTGGTATGCAAGTCGACGATCACTTCGACGAGAACATGAATGGTATGAAGAAAACGTATACACTATACACGTGACACTCGTATATGCTCCGTATATGTAGCTAAGGCATGACGAACCAGAATGTCATTCCATATAAAATCATGAAATCCTTTCTAGTAAACAGGCGTAATTCACGACAAGATTAAACAGGGACGAAACAAGAGAAAGGAATGGAAAAGCACAAGATGCAATTGTGGGATATATGGGCAAAGCTAGGAGAACAGGTGGGGTTGGGTCGAGGTGAACAGAGTCGAGGTGAACAGAGAGGAGGTGAACAGAGAGGAGGTGAACAGAGAGGAGGTGAACAGAGAGGAGGTGAACAGAGAGGAGTGGCTGGAGCCAAACTGGAGCGATAT